CAAGTACGAGGAACTATATTAGTTTATATACCTGTTGAACTACTCTCCCTAACACCATATGATTTTGGGTCAGAATCTAACAATAGGTTTGTCTACTTAACTTTTGTGACTAGCTAATGTATATCTTGTAGCTTTTGGATGCAAATCCTTGTACTAACATAGCCTAGAGTGATAAACAGAACTAATACACCCAGTTGCATTCTCTACATGGCTGCAAAGCATTAAATTTTAAATATTTCAAATTCAAGTCTAATTTGATGCCCTTCTCGCCGAGTATGACCTAATGGACTATATTTGTGGCTAATTTATATTTATGGCTAATTCCAAACTAGATCTTGGATGGTCCAAAAGGATGATCAAGTCCTTCCATGCCTAGCATATACTCATGGCTTCAACAAACACAAACTCAACCCTTCAAACCACTGTTGCCTTCACAACTGAAACAATCATTCACTTCAGTTCCTTTTAAGAAACCTCTCATGAACATTCATCTATATCTAAAAAAATCCAGTCATGAAGGAATCTCAAAAACAGACTTATCCATGCCAAGCACACAACAAAACTGCAATGAATACTTGCAACATATGAAAAGTTTAGAAGATGCACTAGTTGCTGCAGGTGTCACCAGCACTTTTTATCAAGTCAGGTTCATTGATGACACATCATTCCCATGACATTCATATGTTGAACCTCCACATAATACAGGCCAATAGATGCATCTATGTGCTATAGTTTTTTTTTGGGTCATAATAGATGAACTTATAACATCAAGAGTCATTCAACAAAAAAACAAGAGAAGGATCTACTACTTGGACCGGAAAGATGCTCAGTCCATTAGCATATGTTCAGAAAAAAGGAAATGAAAAGGTTAATGCCATGTCCTTACGTGTTCAAGATATGATCTCCTGATTGGATTACTGTTATTTTCACTAGATCTTTGACCATGGGATATATCTTAACTATATCTTCTTGGATAAAGTCATGCAACTCTGCTGCAAACTCCACACCAGTGGGCCCCCCTCCAACAATTACAAAGTGAAGGCTGGTCTTTCGTTCTTCTTCACTCAGGCCAGGAAGGACAGCCCTTTCGAAACAGTCAATCACACTCCTACGGATTTTCTGAGCGTCCTCTAATTCCTATATGAAATGCTAAAAATATCTTCATTAGTTTAAAGAAAATTCCATGCCTTATTTTTATCTCAAAAAACAAGAAAAGAAAATTCCATGCATTAGGAGATTAGCACAACTAGCATCATATTTAAGATTACTACACTAAATGTTGCATATTTCTACTCTTTGTGAGACTCAATCAACCTACCTTGAGAAAATGGCAGCTCTCCAGGACCCCTGGGGTGTTAAAAGTATTTACTTGTGCTCCAACTGCTACGACCAAGTAGTCATATTCCAGAGAGAATTCTAAATTTCCCACAAAGCTGTACTCAAAATTAGACCGACAGAAAACCTTTTTGTTTGCAGCATCAATCTTCAGACATTCTGCCTCCCAAAACTGAATTTCTCCATTTCTCTATCAGTGAAATTGTTACACATCAAAAAGGGTTTTGATGAAGTGAGTAACCATGACATGCTGAAATTATTACTTTAATCTCAAGAGGCCACACAGCCACGTCCAGGAAATTGTAAAAAACCATGAAAGTCTGATGATGCCTCTAAAAAATATATGAAATTATATAGTGCAATTTCTTAAATAAAAATTGAAATTGAGAAGCTCAGAATAAAGGAAATAATATGTACAAAGAAATCATAATTTTAAATAACAACAGGCTTAACCTTCAAAGAAAAAGAAATCAACATTCAAAATGATCATGCATAAAGCTTCTAAAACCAAAGACTTTGTCAAACAATTCTTTCCATGAGAAAGGGCAAAGTAAATCATCTACCAAAATATGTTTACGTGCCACAGTCACAACAATTTTTCTTCTGAAAATAGCTTCTGTTTCATGTTAGATATAAAAGGAAAAGAAAGAGATACTTACAATAAAACACATACTACACGTGCAATCACATTTTTTATTTGTTCGTATTTTCACTCACACAGAACAAAAAATGTATTAAAAGGGGAAAAATCAGCTACCTTCTTTATAATGTTTCGAACTGGTTCTACAATGCTTCTAGCTTCAACTGTTCCACAGGTAACACTAGGTAACAATGGGGTAAATGCAAAATAGTTCCTAGGAGAAACAACCTGCACATCATAGGATGAAACATCCAGATCTTTAAGGAAACTTGTAGCAGCCCATCCTGTGCCAAGTACCACTACTCTCTTCTTCTTGCACTCACTTTGATTGATATTGGGTATGGCAAAGCCATCTGACTGTGATTCTGAATATGCCACGAAACCTCCACCACTGCTGACAGGTGACAGGAAAGAAGAAAATAAATAAATGAAGCTGCTAAAGAAAATAAGTTTTGGCATCTCTTGGTATTTTCCTACATTTCCAGAGACCAGTATTGATAGACTTGGCAACAAGCTAGAGTCGAAAAATATCATCAAGCATTATAGGAATTAGAAAATGTGAGCCCCCCTCTAAGAAAGTCAGGGGATAAATTCCCCATGGAGGAATTATTGCAAGCATGATTTCCTTTTACAATTTAACTGCCCTACTAACCTCTGGTCCAATCAAGAGAGTTCTCTGATCACTTGTAAATGAAATCCAGAAATTTCCGAAAGTTAAAAGAAAAAATATATTCCCTTGGTCACTATTCATTACAAAACTACTGAAACACCTCCACCACCAAATATATTGAAAGAAGGACAGCTTTAGTTTCTGAAAATCAACTATGTTAATAAAGGAAATAGATAGCTTCTATTAATAAATCCTGCAGAAATCTGAAAATACGCATATCTAGCACATCTATAGAAGAATTTAACAATCGTGATAGGCAATATATCAAGATTTGCCCTTATTCTGATGAAATGAATGGCCACATGACCATATGTGGCCATATGTCCTACAGGTCTAAAATCAGCAGAACACTTCAACTGTATTTCCTTTTCCCTACTTATCACATTTTGAACTGGCAGAGTATACAACTGCGGAATAAATAATAACCTAGTGAAGTAACATTCACAGAAATATGCACGTGTAAACGCAGCTGTTTCAGAGAAAAAGGTTATTTTCAGAAGGTAACATTTCCTATTCAACAGGACGTTTCATGATCGAGAACATCAATTTTCCAACTAAGTAGGAAATGAGACCTGAGAGTGCAGAGAACCACAAGCTTAGAGCAGGCAGGGGAGTCATGGAGAAGCCGTGAAGCTCTGTTGAGGAAGGAGAAGATCTTCATTTCGAGAATTTCTTCGCTATTTTATCTCATAAACTTCAAAATAAAACAAGCTTCAAGAGTCAAGAACTGAAGAGTCAAAAGATGGAAGAGGAGGAGGAAGAAGGTGATGATGATCCTGCATCTACTCCCGTCAGTAACTTCGAACAGAGAGAACTCAGTATCATACAACGGGTCAGCCACATCTTTTCTCTGCGTGCTTCGGAACTCATTATTGTCTGTCCACGTGGCATGTTTTTATTGGAGCATCTGGTTGAAGAAATGAGTCCCGCGTGATGCGCGCACCAAAACCGATATCAACGGTGATGATCTTTTTTCAAATTCCATCTTGTTCTTATCCAATGAAGTTTGGTGTACTGAATATAATTACTTTATTCTTTAAAATATATTTTTATTTATATTTTATTTCATTAAAAATATTTTTTGTTTATATTAGTATTTTATTTTATACTTATTTGATAAGATCACGACGTTGACGTTTTTGATAATTTAATAGTTATTTATATTAGTGTAGTTTGGATAATTTAATCTTAAATTATTAAATTATTTAAATGTAAATTAAATTTGATAATAAAGTAGATTAACTAGTGGGAATCTTATATAAAATGATTATTAAATATAAGTTACTGAAGTCAATTTTGTTTGAATAAAAGTTGTTCAAATCAATTTGATTGAATATCAATCGGGTAAAGAAAAGTTAAAGAATAACTTAAATAATAAAATGGTCAATGTATTATCTATATTTTCTTATTTAAGTCTTTAAATTTTTTTTTTTATTATGTTCAAATTTTTATATATTTAAAATATTTTTAAATAAATAATTTAGACGAAAAAAAAAAAAGAAAAATAACTTAAATAGTAAAACAATCTTTGTATTATTTGTATTTTTCTATTTAAATTTTTTATTTTCTTTAATTATGTACGAATT